GCTCCCAGAAAAGTAAAATGAAACAAGAGAAAATGAACCCCATCCCAGTGTTCATTGTCATTCAGGACGAAGAGTGTTTTATACTTAAAAGAGCCCCCCTGAGCTAAATCACTTGCTTTTAAAAGCATTCTAATATATGCATTACTTTTGCGTCCGTTGTCATTGTCCGCCCCCCGACTCGGCCATTTCCGCCGTCCCTTCGTATTATCCTTCAATGCAATTGTCCACACAACTCCCAATTCTTCTCTACTTTAGCACAATGTTCACGATACAGTACAAAGACGGCGGAAAATGGAGCAGCGGACTCGGAATTCAATTACTCACGTCCTTCAGTGATGCTGGTTTCCAGGTGAATTAAGCCCGGCTCTTTGTCCAAACCCATTTTCGACCTGAAAGGCAGACAAATGTGTTTCGGGAACATCACTATTGGTCTTTTGCCTTCGGGCAGATGTCACCTATGGCAGCTGCTGGCTAACACGAGAGATTGCGTGCTGCAAAAGTCAGACAAATTTATGACGACGGATAGGTTAAGTCCAGCACTACGACAGTCGTGCTAAACATCGGCAGGAGCTGGCTGCAGGAATTACCTCGTCTTTGTCTTCACTGTGAAAGGCAGCTTAAATCGTAAAGGGGAAAAGAGGGCCTCGGGTTTACTGTGCGATCTAAATGTTCAGAGTCCCCACAAGGTCCTTTTTCGCCCAGAAAAATGGAGGAAGATGTTTCCTGGCATCATTAGCAGAGGAAAAGCCATTGATTTTTCGCACTACAGTAGGGATGCCCGCAGATGGAATAGCATATAATCATTACGGCATTAAATATGTATTAAAAAGACTGGGGGATCAGAGGAGAAGCAAAGGCAGCACACACAGAGGGGAGAGAAGCTGGGAAAGAGGCTGTGTCGACAGGTAGAGCGCACACACAAGCGAGGGGGGAAATAAAGGGGAGTGAAGCAGACACAATGAGAGGCAGAGACCACGATATCGTTTAATCATTATTATACTTATTGGTAGTATTGGTAATTTCCCAGATGAAACGCAGCTGTGAATAGCATGGCCTAGTTATCTGAGCCACATTTCCATTTTCACTGAATAATCCATTCAGGTACAGGAACAGTGTGAACGGGCACAGAAGAAGTGGATGGTTTGTTTAAACTTGTGTGTTTTCAGTGACGGCACACCTAC